ATGTGCACAAGTATGCATGCGCGTGTGCGTGTGAAAATATATATCGAAAGAAGAGGAGGTATACATGTATTTGTGTAATTATACACAGATATTTACAATGTTCATCTATTAATCCATGCACTCATTAATCTACATCTAAAAATCTATATAAGCATAAAGATTGACAGGCAAGCCATGGACACTCCCATGAGGCTGGAAAGACGGAGGCCGGGTGTTGAATAAATAGAAGAGAGTCATTTACTCTTCATGAAATGAAAAGAAAGATATGACCAGTCTTCAAAGAATTCGTGGAAATAGATCCAACATTACTCTTGCATCTGTTGTAACATCAGGATTTTCTAAATTGAAGAAATATTATTAATCTAACTCTCCTGAAACAATTTACATTGAGAAAATGCACACGCATCAAGTTGTTACCTTAATACGTGTAGGATATAAGAGTGATGCAGGATAAAGCAACTTAATCAGTTTTGTCAAACCAGTAAGTATACACGGGCAGTTACACATGAATCACGATTTTATTTTTATTAATGCTTAATTTCTTTCAAACATTTGCTCACTTGTTCAGCCTAAAAGTCATTCTTTATGGGTTTGCTGCTGGATTTATAATCATTGTATTTTATATATTTATTTTTTCATAGTTATGCATGGACTGTACCTCGGAAAATACACTGAATTTGTCTTCATATCTTACTCTGTGTGTATGTGCGACTATGTGCATGTTGGAATGTGAACAAGTTCATATGCACGTCTATATACCTGCACACCGCGTACAATTTTAACAGATTTTATTGGAATGTCTCATGCTCAATGACGTAAAATATAACATGTACTAAAATCAAGTTTTATTTAGCTTTACATGAAAAACCTCTTGACGAGTAGAAAGTTAGTATAAAGGCGTAATGTGCGGGTACTACTCCATGCCTGCTGGTACGAATATCCGTATCCTGGATGGGTGGGAGCTAGCGTATCCGTAGACCGATCCTGTGAGACCGTGAGTGTGACCATAGCTTGGGTCAGCGTCACGCTTGTGGAGGACGTGGTTGTAGGAGCGAGTGTAGGAGAGACCGCCATATGGGTGGTAAGCTACGGCTGGTCCGTATCCAAGGCTATGGCCGATACCATAGCCGATGCCGCCACCATATCCATAACCATATGAGGGCAAGCCGAAACTAGGCTCAGCTTCTCGTTTGTGAAGATTATGGTTGAAGCTTTGGACAAAGGACCGACCGCCATATGGATGGTGAGCTATGGCTGGTGCGAATGCATGGGAATGATCGTATCCATAACCATATGCTGGATGGCTGTATCCAGGTTGAGCTTCTCGTTTGTGGAGGTTGTGGCTGTAGCTCTGGACAAAGGACCGACCGCCATATGGATGGTGAGCTATGGCTGCGTGCCCATACCGACGCCATAGTGCCGACCGCTGACAACGCCATGAGGAAGGGACAAGCCCACACCATGGCCATAAGAAGGCTCAGCCTCGCGCTTCTGCTCTGCTGCCACGCAGGCAACCAACAGCACAGCGATCTGCGGATAGAGGTTCAAATTTCACATTAAGCAATTGAACATTGCCATTCACAAATGATATCTTAATTTCACTGTTCTCATGTATATGTTAAAGAACGAAATGGGTTCTTACCAAAGTCTTCAT